GCTGCAAGTAACAGAAAATGCTACTACAAGAGTTTGAACACATGAATGGGTTTATTTTTCTTACTAATGAAAAGTCTGGAGGGGACAGTCCAGTATTGGGATGATATCCCCATGATGTCACATGGGACCTGGACTCCGCTTATCTTGCCACTCACCCACCCTTGGAATGTTGTAAACTCAGCCACATACACCAACTTCCTTCTGTGTCCTTCAGTAAGTAAACCCTCTCTGATTTACCAACGTAGTATATATACTTGAGCTTTCCATTTCCTACTACTGTTACTCCATTCATTCAGTTAGTCAGTAATATTTCCCAGCACCTTATCTATGTTAAATACTATTCTGGGTATTACACCAATAACTAAAAATCAAACGCACTGCCACTGAGTCAATTCCTACTCACAGTGCCCCTAGAGGACCAAGCAGAACTGCTCCAAATGATTTCAATCTTTACAGAAGTAGACTGCCTCATCTTTCTCCCATGGAGTAGCATGTGGGTTCAAACCACTGACTTTTTGGTTAGCAGCTGAACCACTACACCACCAGAGCTCCTTAATGTACCAATGGCAGACTACAAAACCACAATAAACACAGATCACAAAGCATAATAAATTCCTAGCCAAATGGAGCTCACAGGTGAGAAGCAACAGAAATAGGTGCAATACTGTATTTAATGTGTTTGCTACTGATAAGGACCAAAAGCAAACATAAAGCAGATGAGGGGCACAGGAAGTGCTGTGGGGGAAGGGAGATACACTTTTGTTTTCCAAGCTGCTGTGGTCAGTTTGATCCCATGTAGCTAGTTCTTTAAATGAGCATGAATGCATACACGGTTTTTAATTTATTTTATTTTTTGTTGAGAACATACACAGAAAAACATACTCCAATTCAAGTTTCTACACGTAGAATTCAGTAACTTTGATGTGCTTGGAGTTGTGCAACCATTCTCATCCTCCCTTCTGAGCTGTTCCTCCCCTCCTGACTGCCCTCTAAGGTTCCTATCTAATCTTTCGAGTTGCTGTTGTC